CTGGGGGAGTGAGGGAGTTGTCGGGGAGACAGATGGGTCCACAGAGCAGGTCGCCTGGGACAGAGCTCCTGAGGTTCCTTCCCATGAAGGTGGTGACAGGTTCTGAGGAGGTGAGGGGCTGGAACTGCACTGTGAAGAGCAGCTCTCTTGCTGAGTAAAAGGTGTCTCGGGCTGACAGCCTTCCAAAGAAGGCCGGAAGGTCAGACCAGGAAGTGTAGTGACAGTCTTTACCTTCTTCTCCACTGATGAATCTTCCCTGTGAATGAGGTTTCAGGGAGAGGACCCAGGAAGATTGCATTCCTTCTGAAGGAACTCCCTGGGAAGCTTCAGAGGAAACCCACCCTGCACTCTTAAGAGAAAGAGGATCCAGAGAGTAGGTGGGGTTGGGAGGTTAGAGAAACCTAAGGTGCTTCACAAGTTCAGAGTATTGAACATGTTAAGCCACGGTCCTTGGAGATCACCATTTGCTGAGCCCCGCCCAACACAGCTAATGTGCCTAATACCCCAGCCTCCCATTGTGATCACTTGTGCGAAATGTCTCCCAGGAACAATTGCTTAAACACTCATCGACTGCTTACCCGGGCATCCTCTCTCTGTGTAGAACATACCAAAACTTCACACTCCCAGAAAGAAAGCAGGTGTTCAGTCGTCAACTTCATCTTGTGTACAGTTGAGGCACTTTGAGTCGCTCCTATCAGGATAGGGCGAATGCCTCCCAAGCCCCACTTCCCGGATGCCAGCCAAGGACCAGCCTGGGAAGCAGGGCTTTCTTAAGCTTCAGGCCTGCTTTTCTACACACATACATACAGATGGGGGCATTAAAGAGGACCCTCCATGCCACCAGTCTTAGCTTCCCTAAGTTCTTCAATTAAAGAAGTAAGTCCAGATTTCCATTTTGAAGATGTTATTGCTATGATACTATGAAGGATATACTGTAACCATTGAGAATGGAAATCAGATAACTACGCAGCAGCTTAGATGATAGGTTAGTGCTTTTGAAATTAGACCCTGGGAATTAAGAGGGAGGGAATGGATTTTAACTATACGTGTGTGTATGTTCGTATATGTGTGTATATCTTGGTACTATAAAGCTACTGTATTAGAAAATAATATTAACATTTTCTTATCTGTGCAAAAGGAAAATTTTTCTAAATTTAAGAACAAAGTCATAAGACATTGGGTGCAGGTTTTGTCATCAGCCAGGGTTCAGGATGTCCCCTTTAAAGAGAGGATGGGAACCTCAGCTTGATCCGAGCAGGTTCTAACTGTGCTGAAAAGCACTTAAGGAGGCATCAGTGAGAGACATGGGCTGAGGTGTTGGGCAGCGTGGAATGGAAGAGAAAATGGGGCGGGGCATGAGCTTGAGGAGCTGAAGCAGTGCAGCTCTGATGGACAGAACCGGATGGGCCCTTCAGAAGGGAGTGAGGCCCAGCAACAGGAGTGGGGTGGCTGCTGTGGGCCAGGCTCTGGTGGTGACTGACTAGTTCTGGTTTTCTACAGTGGACCAGAGGCATCCTTATTAGAGGAGCCCTTAATGTTCAGTCTGCTGTGCTCGAGCTAATTATCCTTGGGGCGGTCTCAGCTTTGTGGAGGAGGCTCTGCTGGAATCCAAGGTGACTGCAGGTTTAGGGCGGCGATTAGACTGGCTCCTACTGGTTGCTGACTGTCCCTGTAAATCTTTATTTTGGTGTCATCTTTGTGAAGCGGAGTGAGGTTAAATTGAGACCTAATCAACCTTTTGTGGCTAGCTTTCATTTTTGTTTTCAATTTTTATTTTCTGTTGCACATGTTTACAGTACATTCCTCGTGAGGTGTTGGTACATATGTGTTACACACTGTTGCTTCCCTCCCTCCTTATTAACGTGCCTGTGTGCATGGCTAAGCAAGGACCTGACCCATGTTCTTAAGGTAATAAAGGAAGTAGATACAAAATGAAGGTCAGGCTTTGTTCCTCTTTTTGTTAGCTAATGGGGACCTGTAGGCCCAAGTGGGGAATCATTGTGTTTTTATTTTTCAGCAGAAGCAATTTTCAAGTCCTTGACTGCCTTAGCAAAAAGTAAAAATGATGCTTTTAATGAGTAACAGGTTAAGGGCCCAGGTGTGAGTTTGTTCTTTGTCCGTATAGTGCCCTCCTTGTTTCAGTTTGGTAAATTTAAATCATGGAAATTTAAAACCCCTGATAAAAAGGAAGAAAAAAAAAAAAACCAAGCCAAAAGGAAATTGGGAAACTATTTACAACCTGTGAGAGCATTTATATCCATGTTATATTAACAGTTACAAATTAGTATTTTAAAAGTCTTAATAGCCCAATAGAAAATAGGCAGTTAGTTAATGGGCAATGAAAGAAAAAAAGTAAATGGTCATTTGATATTTTTCAGTCAAGAACCTTTTAAGCATGAGCAACAGTGAAATATAAATTCTTTCATAATAATTAACAGTTTTTTCTTTCTTTTTTTATTTATATATTAATTGGTACATTTTAGGTATACAATACATTTACGTTTATCATTGGGTGTTTGTACCTGAACATGATGTATCTTAGTTCTTATTTTTTTCCCATTACCTATGCACCACCCTTCCCTATTTACATAGACTTTGTTTCCATTTTTTTTTTCTTCCTCATAATTTTTCCTTTCCCTTCTTCCCTTTCCCCTTCCCCTCCTGCCACCCCTCAATAATTAGCAGTTTTGAAAAATGATAGTCAGTATTCTTAGAAATTGGGAGTGACCTAAAGGTCCAACACTATATTATTTATATAAGTTGATGTATTCATGCATTTATACATAGTCTACCTGTTAGGGTTATTTATTAGAAAATATTGATATGATAGTTTTAATAATAAACTATGATAACAGGTTTTTTATTGATATATTTTACAGAGTACACACAGACATACATAACATACAGGAAAATACTTCAAAAATATCCTTTTTTTCTTTTTGGTACCGGGGATTGAACTTGGGTCTTTGTGCTTGCATAGCAGGTGGTGAAACCACTGAGCTAAATCCCCAGCTCAAAAATATCCTTCCTAAGATGTTAACTAGGTGGTAGGATTATGAATGATTTTTATTTTCTTTATGATTAAAAAAAATTCAAGTATATTTAACAGAGGTCGGCGTGGATTGTTTGCTTATTTTTGTAAATAAAGCTTTATTGGAACACAGCCATTCTCATTTATGCGTTGTCTAACTGCTTTTGCAGTACAGTGGCATAAAAATATTTGTTACTCAGTCCTTTAAGAATGTTTATCAGCCTTGTGTGATGGCACACACCTATAATCCCAGCAGGTGGGAGGCTAGGGCAGGAGTAAGGCCAGCCTGCACTACACAGTGAGTTCAGGACCAGCCTGCACTACATAATGAGACCTTGTCTCAAAAATAATCCAAAAAGAATGTTTATCATGCCCCTACCTATAGTGAGTGGTCTCTTTTTATATTTAGAAACAAACTTCTTCACAAGCATCTGTATTTTTACATAGTCATAATGTGTTGTAAGAAAAATAGCATTGTTGTTTGTAGTGCTAGAATTTTATTTTCCATAAACGTCTTGGTAGTCCCCCTCTCAAAAAAAGTTATCTATACAAGAGAAATGCTTGTATTGCTGATACCAAAATGAATTAATATTTATTTTAAATAATGTAACAGATCAGTGGTTATCCGGATCGTTATTAGCTAGTATCTTGATGTTCTAAAGAAATGATGACTTAATAGATGTAGAAAGCTCAGAAATGATTTTCTGTTACTATTATCAAAGGGTTAAAGGGCAGGCATTTAAGGAAGTGTGCTTATTACTTATGGGCCATTTTAAAGTGTATGTGTAAAAGAGGATCGAATGCTGGAACTTAAGCAGAAGTGAACAAGAAAGGTATAAACCTGTGAGGAAGTGGTGACAGCTACTGTGTATCTGGATCTTTGCAGAAATGCTATTTAATCTCCAAAATGGTCTTGACAGGTAAACAAAAGTGTTTTGTGTCTTGTAAATGAACACTCAGGTTTGGAGAGTTTTAAGTGTTTACCTGAATCATAAAGAGTTTAGTTGAGCCTCCACTTGTAGCCAGGTTTATCTGAGAGGAGCGCTTATGATTACCTTTAGCCTTTCCTTTTTTCCTAATGTGTTACCATGGTGGTCCCAAGAACTTGAAGCAATATCTGGAATTTTATTTGTGAAGTTTTATTAAAGTTATTTCAAGAATGTTTTGGGAACATTCCCGCTGTGGTTAACATGGAGTTGTACTTTATGAACTTTGAGAATCTACCAGTTCTGTGATCCTGTTGTGTTTTATTTTAATTCTGTTTGAGCATTTCATCTAATTTATCTAGTTTTGTAAAAGTAGGTAAAATTCAGCCAGTTCTTGCCCAAGATCTGTTCACTGAAGCTGGACCTGTTTACTGGGCAGCTGAAACTAGGAGGGCGATCATCTTCTTGCCCTCGGGAAGGCCGCCTGCCTGCAGCCTGGTACTTGTGAGAGGGGGTCTAGCTCAGTGGCAGTCTGGGTGCTGCCAGGCCTTCCTTTGTGCTTTCATGTCCTAGGGTGTTAAATCACCACCAGCTCGTCACATACTCAGATTCAGACAAATGTATCCACATATCTAAAATAGAAAAAATCTAATATAGAAAAAATATGAAATAATTATTTTTATTATTATTTCCCAGTGTTTTCCTACACTTGTTCATTATTTGAGTGTTACTGGTTTCTGTACGTATGGGGGATCTTCCAGCCCGGATGGATTAATGTAGGTAATCTCAATGTATGGATTGTAGTTTTCTTTTGAAAAAGGGGAGATTGAGGATGCTATACTCCGACATGATAAAATCCTAAACATATTCAATGGAATATTTGTACGTTTCAAGGTCATCTTATAATCCACCAAATAATATTATGGTAGTAGTGATTGAAATCTGTCACTCTTTAAACCAGAAAAAATCCTAACCCTCATGTGAATAGTGTAGTTGAGTTATAGTTTACATAATTACATAAGATTTATTCTTTTATTTTCTAGTCTATTCGGCACCTGAAGTACTCAGTGTATAAGAAATCGCTGTTGGGCAGTGTTTCAGATAATGGACTGGTAACTCTCTGGGATGTGAATAGTCAGAGCCCGTACCATAACTTCGGCAGTACACATAAGGCCCCAGCTTCAGGCATCTCCTTTTCTCCTGTCAATGAATTGCTGTTTGTAACCATAGGCTTGGATAAAAGAATCCTCCTCTATGACACTTCGTGTAAGAAGTAAGTGTGAGGCACTCGTTTCTCAATTTAGTAACAAGTGATTAGTAAAATATTAACAGACGTATGGTATATGTCACTCAGATAGACTTCTGATTAATGTCCAGGAGATGTAATGTTTGTATACTTGATGATCTAGTTGAAATTGAATTTTCTTTTTTTCTTCTCATGCAGAGCAAATAGATAGGGGAGTGGATATTTCTGGAAAGTGAGTGTTAGGGATCCCATCTTAATGATTTCACATCTTTATTTTAACATACTTCTTCAAAATATAACTAAATGTATTTTAAAGCTGTATGATTAATTTGCCTTAACATTCATTTTCTGGAGCAAAGTTTTGAACTGTTGCCATTTTAGGCATACAGACAGTTCTTTGTTATAGGTTGCTGTCTTGGGCCTTGTTGGGTATTTAGCAGCATCCCTGGCCTCCGCCCACTAAATCTCAATAAAATTCCCTGAGTTGTGACAGCCGAAACTGCCTAGAAATTGCCAGATATCCCCAGGGATGAAATTGCCCCCAGTTGGGTACATACTCTTCCGTGTGTGCCCCTTGTGCCTGTCTTTCAGGTACAGATCTGCTTGATTACTGCCCACCCCTGCAGACCCCCACAAAAACCAGCTGCAGGAGTGCTGCAGTTGCTTTCAAGACATCTAAAAATCTAAAGATCATGTAGGATGTTAATATTGCCATTAGAGAGGAATGGGGACTGCCAGGCCTTGTTATGATGCTAGGATTCTTTCTGTTCTCAATGTCACTGTCCTCTTTTGAAATACTTTGCTGAGAGCCCTATGTATACGCCATTCTTCACTTGTAGCAGACACAGCAGTAACGTGCTCAGCTTCCAATCAGATCAGTTTACATTCTCCTGCGTGAGCTCGAACTCATGGACTCTGTTCCTCTTAGCTCTGTGGTCTGAACAGAGTAGCAGCTGCTGCCCTGTGAAAGGTCATGGTCCTCTTGAGACCTAAGCAGGTCAGTAAGTGGAAAGTGGATACTTAGAGCCTCCTCAGCCCTGAGGCTAGAACTTTGATTTGTGGGGCAACACGCAAGAGTAAGTCACATGCACTGCCAAAGCAGTAATTATTCAGAGAAATAGGTGCAGTTCTGGAAGATGTAGACTGTACCGATTGGAAGTGAACAGCGAATAAGATGCAGTGTTCAGCAGTTCTTTTTTTTCAAATTTTTATTATTTTAAATATATCTTATTAGTGCTTATTATTTTACAAAATATTGGGTATCAGTGTGGTATTTTCGTACATGCTGTTCTGCCGTTCTTTACCTATTATTTTATTAGAACTGTGTCTAAGAGTCTGAAATTCTACTTGACAGAAGTATTTGGGGTGTACATGCTATTTGCCCAATGCTGAATAATTTGGTTGTTAAATATTATTTCATATAAGCTTCCATGCCTGGATATACAGACATATCTGCATATACTCTGTTCCCTTCCCCAAAGGCTAGTGAAAACTTTAGTGACCGATACTCCTCTGACTGCAGTTGATTTCATGCCTGATGGAGCCACTTTGGCTATTGGCTCTTCCCGTGGGAAAATATATCAGTATGATTTAAGGATGTTGAAATCGCCAGTTAAAACCGTCAGTGCTCACAAGACATCTGTGCAGTGTATAGCGTTTCAGTGCTCCACTGCTCTTACTAAGGTGAGATACTGTCTTTTCAGCATTTTTGATTTTACAAAAAAAGTCAGTTCAAAATGTGAAAATTGTGTTTTGTCAGTTAAAGTGTAGTATTATTTCACAATCTTTATATGATAGCATTTTAAATGATTTTACTATAAAGCTATTTGATTCTTAGTTTTAAAAGTTTTTGGGTACTTAGTTCTCTGTATCTCTCCAAAAGTATTTTAAAAGCTTGTTTTGGTACAGAAGGAAACTCAGCTCCACACGCAAACTTAAGATTTGTGAGGGAACAGTACATTTTCACAGGGGATTTATAAAATATTGATGTATAATATGAAACACTAGTAACCTGAGCTTTTGAATGTTCCATTTCTTTTCAGTCAAGTTTAAATAAAGGCTGCTCAAATAAGGCCGCAGCAGTGAACAAACGGACTGCTAACGTGAGCGCCCCTGGGGGAGGGGTGCAGAATTCCACAGTCGCCAGAGAAGCAGCCCCCGCCCCCATAGTCACAGTTCTGTCGCAGCCCCTGACAACAGCTGCTGCAAAAGGAGGTGTTACTGCTCAGGACAAAGCAGGTAAATGTTACTTCTCTAGTGTTTGGAGGTTTTTTCCTTCCCAAATAGTTATAATTAGCAATTACTTTAGAACTTAGAGCTCAAATTACACATTTTTGAGAAGTTCACGAAATGCTCTTTTTCTCTCTATTCTGATGAACTTCTGTTGGTGGTTCTTTTTTTTTTTTTCCGCTACTGGGGTTTTAACCCAGGGCCTTGACACTGAGCTACATCCCCAGAGACTTTTTCTTTTTTCTTTTGAGACAGTGTCTCGCCAAGTCACTAAGTTGTCCAGGCTAGGCTCAGATTTATGATCCTCCTGCCTCAGCTTCCCGGAGTGCTGGGATTACAGCCATCACACCTGGCTTTGTGTATTTTTTGTTTCATTTTTGATGCTGGGAATCAAACCAAGGGCTTCAAACGTTCCAGGCAAGTTCTCTACCATGGAGGTACATTTAGCCCTCAGATGAACTTCTTCTGTGAGAAATAGTGATTATCTTAAATATGGAATCGTGCCTGCTCAGAAATCACTCATCTTTAATACTACTACAGTCTCCGTGACTTTCCATTGTGTTGTTGGTACAGAATAGGAAACTTTGATGCTGTCATTATGATTTGAGTTCATGGTAAAAGAAGTTATTAATTTCATATCTTAGAGTGAAAAGTATGGTGATATAATGAACATTTTTAAGTGCTGAAGAGTACCAGGCACATGTTAAGCAGAATATGGTTTGTTAAATAAAGATAAATGAAAATGTTTTACCTTTTTTACCATTATGATAATCATACTAATGAAACAGTTCTGAAACAAGAATTCATTTAGACTATGTGAAGGTATAATATAATCATGTATTTCACCACATTTACTATGCAAATTTAACCAAAATAAAGATCATATGCTATAAATTCTTAAAGATATTTCTGTTTGGATTTTAAGAAGTTATCCTATACTGTCAGTTTGCAGCAGAGTTTTTAAGTCTACCTGGTATACCAATGTTTTTCAAAGGATTGTGCTCAGTGGAAATATATATGTCGGGACAAGTACATGCACAAAAATATGTTAATATCCTCTCAGTATAAATGACTGTTTCCAAGTAGCAGCAGAGCTTTAGTTTTCTGACCACAGTAATACAGAATGGATTTTTAAAATAATAAGGTATATTCATTATCACTTTCCTGTGAATATCTCTATCACCTTATAGAATAAATATAATACAGAAAAATACAAGTATCATAGTTAAATCCTTATTTAAGAACTCTTGGAGACAGCTACTATTGTTACTTACCTAAAAGAAATTCTTTTTGAACTATTACCTTGAATAATATCTGCCAAAATGTTGAATTAACTATGTGTTGAAAATTGCCATTATTTTCAAAACTTTTTCTAATTTATTAATTTATTCATAATTTTTAAAATACAATTTTTCTCGCTTATGTAAAGTCTCACTGCTACTTGTTTAGTCTTTTATAAGCAGTTTCTTGCTTAAGGATGACACTATTAGGAAATGAAAGACTTGCGTCTGCTTGGTCACTGAGTAGTGATAATTCTTGGCAAATTACCAAAATTTCTGGCAAAATGAGTGTTCTACCCCCACATATAGGGATTTTTATTAATTTTATTTTGAAATAATTGCCATCTTACAGACAAGTGTTAAGAATAGTACAGCACAGACATCTCCTGAGCTTTACCCTTTAGCAGATTCACCACTTCGAGTTTGGCTTCATTAGCTTCATCGTTTTCTCTCTTGCTCTCGAATACACAGGTGTACTTTTTCCACAGAAATTTTGAGAGTAGTTAACACTTGATCTTCAGGTCTGTCACTTCCTACTAGGACAGCTTTAGGCAGTGATTTTTGAGTCTCACTGTTTTCCCTTCATACACCGAGGTAGTATTTAAGTTTGGGGATTATTGTGAAAAACCAAAGAAAATGCCTGCCACATGATAGACACTCAGTAAATGATTTGTTGATAAAATCATTGTCATCATGATTGTCATCATCGCCATTGTTACTATAAGCTTTGTGCAAAGCTCGAGTTTGAAAAAGACTTGTTGCTTCTACTGAAGGTATCCTTATTTAATTATTGAAAAGAACCTCTACAACTTATTACTGGTGTTCATTTTTAGTAGGAAACAGAGCCATTAAGAGGTTAAAAAATAAGATCTTAGCACTATTTTAGCTGATGTCAAACTGCTATTTTGTAAAGTTGCAGAGGCTAGAGTTAGGCATTCAAACACTTTAAAGAACCTAGAGAAAAGGAAAGGAAATTTCCTCTTTATAACAGTTTAACTCATGATGTGAACATGTCTCTTATTGTGATGTACAAATGATATTTTTATGTTACTAGGGAAGTTTATTTCATTAACCAGGCTTGGGTGGTTTTGGATATGCATTGTACTGTCTCTCCTTTGTTTTCATCCCAGGCTTTATGGTTTTCATTTGAGCTGAAGATGCCTAATAAAACACTTTTAAAAATGTAATACAGTAACATGTTACCAATCTAGAAGCAGATTTTCATCTATGCTCTTAAATCTCAAGAATTCATTCTTTAACCCAGAAACAAGCAAGAAGCTACAAAGGCTGTAGGGTTCCTAGAAAGTCCCTGCCCTAAAGCCATATGTTACCTGCTGCCAGAGGAAACAGATGCTGCAGCCTTTTTAATTGTCTGCTGTGTCTTCTTGAGTCTGACGTTCTGGTTTCCTTACTCTTGATACTCTGCAAAAGTTAGTGAAGTCATTTGTAATCAGTAGTGCTGTTAGGGAAAGAGAGAATGGGGAGAAAGAGACCCATTAGCTGAGAAATGGGGAACTAGTATTGAGTTCCGCTGTGTGTTAGGCGCATTGTGTGTATGCTAGGAGGGCCCCGTCATCATTTCTAGATGACCATGAGTTAATAATGACAGTAAGTTATGTTCAGTATACTTTAAGAGGGCAGAAGAATACGTAAATTGTTTTAGAAAATTTCCTTTTCAGAATAGCTAAAATAAGATGTTGCAGTATGAACAAATAAGCTCTTTGGCTTTGAGGAGCCCTTCATTCCCTGAAAGTGTTAGTTAGATGAATGGTTGTCATAGTTGGTTCCTTTTTGTGATGCCCAGAGTTATAAAGTTCCAGCAATGTGATAATGGGTCGATTTTTTTTTTTTTTTTTGGTACCGGGGATTGAACTCGGGTCCTTGAGCTTGCGAGGCAGGCGATGGAACCACTGGGCTAAATCCCTGGCCCAGTGGGTCAATTTTTACAATGTAGCTTCTGAGGGTAACATTTATTAAGATACAGTAACACTGATTTTTATATCAAATTCTTCTAAGGTTTGCCTCGAAGCATAAACACAGATATTTTGTCCAAGGAAACAGACAGTGGAAGAAATCAGGATTTCTCCAGCTTTGATGACACAGGAAAAAGTAGTTTAGGTGACATGTTCTCACCTGTCAGAGATGGTAAGTGTGTTCAGATCAATGGATCTTGTTCTCTTGGTGGTTATTACGTTTTCATTCTGGCTAAAAGATGTGGCTAATAGCTTCAGTCTAACTTGATTCATGGTAAATTGCTGATTTTCTCAGTTCCTCGGTGGTATCTTTTACTCTTAATATTTCAAATGTTATAATTCTAAAAAATACTATAATTTTCTGTGATAACTAATGCAGATAATTTTCATCTTAGTGTTTTAATTTTCACAAAAATTTCTTTTATTGTGGTGCTGGGATTCAAACCCAGGCCCTTGATGATGCCATAACAAGCTTGCTGTCACTGAGCTCCATCCCTAGACTCTACAGATTTCTTAAAGGAAGCTTTGCCTTCATCTACTTGTAAATAAATCCCTCCAAAATCTTGGATATTTTGATATGCAAAAAATAGCATCTTGACTTCAAACATGTAAGATTCTTAGTGTTGAATTACCATTTATTACATGTCTTCATGGAGTATATGGCTAGGAGATAGATTGTCTCATCTTTTCCATTATGTGTGAAAGTACTGTCTGTCCGTCTGTCTATACCACCCACACCCACAGTGTAATATAAATGTTAATATTAAAAGACGTTTCTGGCAGCTTGATCAGTGGACATAATATATATCATCTTTCACAGTCTGTGAGCTAGGACATTGTTTAGCTGTCCTTTTTTTGGTTGTGATATTTATACGTTAATGGAATAGTCTTATGGCTAATAGCAGTATTATCAGTAAGATGGGTAAATAACTAGAGGATAATTTGACAATTAAATTGTTTATACTTATTGGCCTGGTAATTCTGTTTCTACAAATTTATCCCAGAAAATACTCAGAGAAGCCTGCCAAGATTTGTGTGTTTACTGTTCTATTTATAATTGTGAAAATCTAGAGAAAATCTGAGTGTCACCAGTGGCAGGATCTTAAAATTGGTGTGTCAACTCATGATTTTATGCAATATTTTTACTTTACAGTTGTCTTTCCCAAGTTTTTTACATTTCATAATCAGAAGGAATAAATAAAGGGCAATAGTCCAGGATATTTGTCTTCTGCCTTATTGGGCCTAAAAATAATCTGCTTAAATTTCCAGGTCAGACTCCCCTGTCTGCCATCTAGCGAAGGAGGTGAGCTGCATAGTAAGGATAGTGCAAGGAAGGGCATGAGTGGGGAGGAGGGAGTGGTGGGCAGAAGACAGGAAGGTGTGGGGTGGACCCTGAGCCACAACCTCCTGTTCTCCTTCCCCGGCAGAACTTTGGCATTGGAGGATGGACGAAGGGGCTCTTTGAAACTGTCAGAGTTACACATTTTATCTTCTGTAATAGTTTTTAAGTGAAATAAATTAGTTTTGTTGTTTTTGTAAAATGTGATTAGAATTTGAGGCTTTGGCCTTCCATCAGGGTTTTATGTTATTAGTAAGGAAAAACATGAATTCTGAAAATAATGCTAATTTTCATTGTCATGGAATTTGTCTTTTAATTTCAAAGATGTAACTATTTTAGTAAAAGCCATGATCTCTTCATGCCTCAAATTCTTCATCTTTAAATAAAAATACTTCTTTCTTAAGTAGAAACTAATACTTTCTAAAATGTATGTGTGTCGGCATGCAGTGTACAAATCAGGTAGTACAAGTAGATAATGTTTCTAAGAATATGATGACATTTGGCAGATGAGTTCATGAGTTTTGCTCATGTTTTTATTAATCCATTAAAATTGACATAAGCAGTATTTGTTCATGTACTGGTAAATGAATTTATAGTATTGAAAAATATAAAACCATATTTTTATAACACCATATTGCTTGCAAAATATTTTTATCTTGTTTCAATTGATCCTCAAAACTTTTGAGATGATCAAGGCATTATCCCCATTCTAAAGATGCAGAAACTGAAGTGTAGTTGCACTAGAGGCTTGCCCATGGTGAGAAAGAATTAAATGCAGTAGGCAAAACTGAAACTGAACTGCAGATCTCTAGATCTGTTTCATGGCTTGTTCTGTACTTGGGTGACTCATTAAGCAACTGCACCACAGAATACTGTTTTCATCTTTGCCACTATGCATGAAGCTAAAAGATCGAAAATGGAAGCTTAAAGAGTTCTAGCTTTAATCTTTAACCTCCCTCATATATTTCTTCTTAAAGTTACTAGTCTCAGAACTCTTTAGAGAAAGTAGAAAACTTCAGTTGCTGTGACTTATTTTTGACTATTTTAAAATGTGATTTTCTTATTTTATTCTAGATGCTGTAGTTAACAAGGGAAGTGATGAGACTGTAGCCAAAGGAGATGGTAAGAACTACTTGGGAGTATTTTTAAGAAAATTACAAGTGGTATTGTGTTATCTATTGCTGTGTAACAAATGATACCAACAATTTGAGGCTTAAAAGGGAGAGTAAACATTTATTGTGTAATTATTTCTGTGCCGTAAGAATATGAAGATGGCTTGGCTGGACACCTTTGGCTGCAGATCATCATTGATATTTCATTCAAGGTATTGGCCAGAGCTACATTCAAAAGAGTGAGAAAGGACCCCAAAGTAGAAGCCACAGTATGCTTGTAACCTAGCCTTGAAAGTCACATCCCACCACTTTTTTCATTTTCTCTTTGTTAGAAGGGAATTTCTAGGTGTGATTGATACTCAAAGGGAAGAGAGAACACACAAAGGTGGTGATGTGTATTGAGAAGGCAGGGATCAGTAGGAGCCATCTTAGAGGCTGTCTTTAGAGATGAACCAAACTAATAGTTATGGAAAAACTAATACTAACACATTCAATGTGTTTTTTCAGTTTTCAAAGTATTTTTACATATTCTTTTGAGCCTTGCCACTGTAAGAGATGGGATATCATCATCCACATTTGTAGATCAGAATATGGAGTTTTAGGAGTTTCAAAGATGTGCCCAAGCATACACATTAGTTAAAGGGTATATTTGAGAACCTAGTTCTCTGAATTGAAATCTCATGTCTTCTGCTGTATTTGTCTACCTAGCAGGTTAAGTGCCTCGCTAAAATATCCATGTGCAAATGGGACATCATGTGCAAATGTAATCTTTCCTTCTTTTTCAGGCTTTGATTTTCTCCCACAGTTGAGCTCAGTGTTTCCTCCAAGGAAAAATCCAGTAAATTCAAGTACTCCAATTTTTCATTCTAGTCCTCTTAATGTCTTTATGGGATCTCCAGGGAAAGAAGAAAATGAAAATCATGATCTGACAGCTGAGTCTAAGAAAACATATCTGGGAAAACAGGAACCTAAAGACTCCTTAAAACAGGTATCTACATGTAAATGATACTGAACTCACCTTGCATGTCTGTCAGTTGAAAGCAGCCTGCTGCCAGGGGATGTATCCTAATTATTGACAGTGCTCTATATTCACTTTCTAGGTAGAAAAGACTCTTCAGTCTTAATGTCACCTTTTTTGTGTGTGTGGTGAGAGTCTGCTGGCATTGGAAGCCAGGGTCTCATGTATGCCAAGGACATGCTGCATCACTGAGCTGTGCCTCCAGTCTGTGATGTAACATTTTAATAACTAAAGGACACTTTTGAAATCTGTCTTTGGATATATTGAGGCTATCAGCAGTTGTAAACTTGACTGTTTTTTTCTAGGATATCTGTCTGTGTAAGAACATTTCATAGCTTAATTCTTTTAAAATACATTTTCTTTGCAGCATTAAGCGTCAAGTTGGCAATCAAGTCATTTACTCTAAGGCAGTGCAGATTTGATTCTCCTGAGAATGGAGTTCATCATTAATACTTCTGCTAAAAACACAGTATCCAATATAGAACGTAATTGCTTATGTAGGGGTTCAAAATGGTCAGATATTATAGGAAGAGCAAATCTATTAGGTGTGTAATATGTATTTTCATATCTCCTATTTAGAGTAATATTGAAAAGATTATCATGCAGGAAGTACGAAAATGTCTTTTGATTTATTTTTCAAATATTTCTGTCTAGTTTACCACATGAAAGCTTGGGAATTTTCTTTTTATTATTGTTATTATTATTTCTTTTTTGCCAGTGATTTGAATTTTAAATTATATTCAACAGCAGATGCTCAGAAAATTAGCTTTTCCTCCTCATGTTATTGTTGACTCTTTTTAATTAGTAGACTTATTGTGCTGTTAGACCTAATATCTATTTTACTTCTTTGAAATCTTTTCCTATTCTTCCTTCACTTCCCTGGTCCTACCTACTGCAAAAAAAGTGGAAAGTACATAGACTTTTAGAAGTGATATGGGTAAAACAAATTTTAAATTAAAATAATTGTCTACTTTAAATGTGAAGTTTGCAAAGTTGATCTCCTCTGGTGCTGAAACTGGGAATCTGAATACCTCTCCATCCTCTAACCAAACAAGAAATCTTGAGAAATTTGAAAAGCCAGAGAAAGAAACTGATGCCCAGTTGATATATGAACCCCCAGTAAATGGATCCTCAACTCCAAGTAAGTTCATAAAGCTTCCTGATGTTTGCTGGTGTTAAGTTGAATGACATTCCTGTTGTTTAACTTGGAAAGGATAGAATGATCGTAGACTTAAAAAACAGTCCTAGGAGTTTAAAGTTTATGGACATTTTTATAGTGTTACTTTCTTACTGGAAGGCAATGAAATGTGTATGATGGTTGAGTCCGGCAACATTGATTTGTTCCTCATTTGGTGGGAATTTCATTTTCAGTCAAATATGTAAGGCTTTGATTTAATATGGAATGTATAGAATTATATTGTAGGGTTATTTGAAAAGGAATGATTAATTATTTGAAATTGTAAATTTTTTTTCCCTTTTTCATATTAAAGTCTTACCCTTAGAATTTATGCCATAGACTCATAAAAACTTGATGCATTTAAAGGCCTATTAGGTTCACCTTTAAGATCGTCTATACAAAGAAACTCTTCATAGAGAAGCATCTCTTTTTATGGGTATCTATATTTTACTTTAAGGTTTCTATGGATGTATTGCATTAGCTTAAACTCTAGGGCTTTGGCTGTAGCACTACTTTACTCCTATATTCCATTTGTTTTTAATAGTCTTGGTTTATCTGGTTTGTGGTACAGCTTGTCACATTCATCTTTTATAAGAAGAAATGGTTTAGAGATTCTTCAAGATTAATCCCTCTGTCATATGTTACTACATTAGAGAGTTGGCAGTTTATATATATAGATAAATGACTATTAGAAATAATGCCATAAAAGATTCTAAAATTTGTATTCCAGACAGTGGATTTTTCTAAATGTCACAGGAACCCTGTTCTTTGCCAGTTTTTCAAGTTTCCTCATGCCAAATCTTATTTAGAAATGTTTGATGTCTCCCAGTCCAAGTTGACTATTAATATTTTCTCCATTCTTTTAGCTCCAAAGATAGCATCCTCTGTGACTACTGGAGTTGCCAGTTCCCTCTCAGAAAAAATAGTCGATACGATTGGAAACAATCGGCCAAATGCACCATTGACATCTGTTCAAATCCGCTTTATTCAGAACATGATACAGGAGACATTGGATGACTTCAGGTAGTAATTAAGAAATTACTCTTTCTTTTCTTTTTTTCTTTTCTTTCTTTCTTTATCCCCCCCCCCATTAAGTTTATTGGTACATTTTAGGTATAAAATACATTTACATACATCATTGGGCTCTTGTACCTTTACATGAATATCTTGGTTCTTATTTTTTTTTCCACTTCCCCTGCCCTCCCTTCCCTATTTGCAAAGATTTTTGTTTCCATTTTTTTCCTTTTCTCATATTTTTTCTTTTCCCTTCTTTCCTTTCCCCTACGCCTCCCACTTTCCCTACTCCTTTAGACCTTTACTTC